CTGTAGAGCTAATTTGTATTCAACTTTAGGCTTGCGAACTCGCATAATTAACTGATTAACCGCGCGTGAAAATGACAAGACTTTCATTTCCTCGAGATAGAAAGGAGAAAATGTCAGACAAACTTGAAATAAAGAGTTTTCAGCTCCAATTTGTGTATGTTTTGTTTATATATATCCGAGTTTTAGCGCTAACTAAGAAGACGTAAACTAAATTGAAATAAAGACTTTTCAACTCCACTTTCTGTATGTGTTTTGTTCATGTATATCTGAGTTTTAGCGCTAAATGAGATATAGGAAGCCGTTTCTCGCGTTGCTAGGTGATCGCTCTTATTTTCCTTTTAATAGACGGTCCGAAAACCGAGCTCAAGTTACTTACCGGGCAAGTCTAGGCAAGCCTATTGTTCCTATTGTAGTAGAGTGACGCTCACTGGTAAACCTATACCGAATTAGTATGCAGGAAGACACTGACTAGGCACTTAAATTAATATGGAGGAAGGCATTGACTAGGCACTTCATTAGTATGGAGGAAGGCACTTTTTTCTCTAGGATAAAACAATGGGTGACGTCATAGACTCGACCCTTATACATATTAATTAAGGGAACGCACACGGAACGCAAAGGGAACGCACCAACGAGGCTTATCTTTGACCCTAGTATACTACTACTGTCTTACAAATTATGTGCATTGTTAATGGTGGAAGGCGTCATGGGACAGATCGTAATTTGGTAGTTGGACGCGGTTGATAATAATAATCTAACATCAGGGACAAAAAAGAAACACAGGATGAACGAAGCCTTATACTTTTCCTTTAGGAAACAGTATAATTCTTTATAGGGGAACTGCCCTTATTAGAGAAAGGAGAATGACATCATGAGCAAAAATGGACAATAAAATAGAAATACTGTTGATTTTTTATAAGAAGTTTTAAAGGTCAAATGCAATAAAGGATACCGAAAGCCCTTGCTCACACCATTTCTTAGCCTCGTCAAACTTCTTCAACTTCTCACAGGTTGTCGCTCCTACGTGAAATTGAGAAATGCAACTAAATTCTAGCTTACATGTCTTTAAACGAGGCTAAACTATGTTTATCGTGTGAACCCTCATGAAACCTCTTCAGCAGTCCTTCAACAAGCTACAAGTTTTAATTGCTTTTAAGGGTTTCAGTAGAATAAGATCATGGCTACCAAGGTTTTGTAACCCGGCCAGGAGAAATATCCTGTATTCTTCACTCACATGGACATGGAAGAGACTTGCATCCTTTGTATCCTGACCTTGTTCTGATTTTAGGTTGACTAGAGCTATGGTGGTCCTATTATGGACGAAAGTTCCCTCATTTTTTGAAATAAATTTTAATTGATGCATAAACAATTCAAGATTCAAATAATGGTAGTGATATTATCTCCATTTAAATCAGGGGTATGAAAGGTTTGGTGTAAAGCAAGTTTTGGGTTATGAGACTTCTCTTCATTGTGTAGTGTGATAAACTATGTTATAATCTATTCTCAAATCTGACAATAGCCTTTAAGTGAGTGGGATGTAACGATACCGCAATTTTTGAATCACTTAGTGAATCCTGACAATTTCCTATACATAAAAAAAATTTAAACAGAAAAAAAGATCGTTTTCACCTATGAAAGAATGTACCATACGTTATTCACTTAGGACCCGAAGTTCGTTAAAGAAGAACTGATGTGTCTGGAAAAAGAGAGTCATAAGAGTCATCGCAATCGCATTCCCTGGCTTGGTCTAACCTGCATCATGATAGACGTGGAAAGGGGAGGGGGAAAGAGGGGAAAAAGGGACTTATTATTCAAAAAAAAAATTGGCCTCTTATGGCACGCGCGCCTCTCCCTTTTCCATTTTTCTCCCCCTTCCCCTCCGTATTTTGCGCCTGCAACGCAGGACACGCTTGGACTACCGGCCACTGAGAACTCGCTGGATTAAGTTTCAGATCAGTTATTGCACAAGATCCTATGTGGCAAATTGTCATCAGATACTGTCCGATACTTGAAGCTGACCGTAGTCTTGAAGAGGGTAATGATTGGGTTAACCTGAGCTCCATATAACTTTTTAAAATTACAATTACACCTTTTAATTTAATCTTCTTTGATCGTTTTTGTTTTATTTCGTTTTGTTTATTGTTCTTTTCATTCCATAAGGTTGAAATTAGTTTTTACAAGGAAACAAGAATACTCTACCCGAATAAAAGTGTGCTGTCGCCCTGTTGTGGTAAAGCTTGGCGTTTAGCTCGTCATCCCTGCTGTTCACTTTGATTCCTTCCGTGAAGAAGTACTGAATGGCGTGAACGAAATCATGTTTACCGAAAGCTTTGTTACCAGCACCCTTGTACACTTCTGCTACTGCTGAAAAAAAAAGAAAACTAGGATAAGAATTCTGCGAATCAATAAACAGTAAGTTCAATTGCGAAATTGAACGTATGAGAAAGGTAACATGTACTTACATGTCCTCTTTATTTCCAAAAGATCCTGATTGGCATTGTAAATCTGAAATTAAAAGTTAAGGTACTTAAAATGTATACACAGGGTAACGGATTCCGGAAATTTTTGCTGTGAATTATGAATCCTGTGCTTTGGAATCCAGAATACAGCTCAAGGAATCCAGAATCCCTCTGACGATTGGAATACGGAATCCAGGTTCCATGGACAAAGTATCCTGGAATCCGGAATCCATGGCGTGGAATCTAGACTGTCTTGGATTCCCTTACATGGAGCGATCGAAGGGATTTTACTGTCTCATCGACAAATTGTACGGTCTTTTATATCTTGCCTTTTAATTTTGGTGACTTAGGAAGTGAATTATATTAAATAATTAAATAAGCACCTAAATACTAATTTTATGATAGTTAAGGCCACTAAAAAAAACCGGATTTGTCGATGAATATTCAGATAAGAAACAAGGATGGAACGTACTCCTCTCTGGTTTGCGAGGACCATATCAAATATTTAGTGGTAATGATTGATGATTGTCTCTCATGGAAATATCATATCTCATATATTTGCACACGAATTTCAAGAAATATCGGGATTATATCAAAATTAAGGCAGTTTTTATCTGTTAAGTAACTAAAGCAAATTTACTACAACTTATTTATCCATTTCACCTAAAAAAGTGCAGATTAAGCAAAATCTTGTAGCTAGATTAATATTCTAAACACACAATGTGTAGGCTTAAAACATTGCGTCATCTAGTCGCAGCGCTAAGAACTGTGGGACTTGTCAGACCACGCGGATCGAACTGTCGGAAGTATTCAGGATTCTCTAAGATTCTCTAAGGATTTACCGCGTCGCTGTTCATTTTCCACTTTCCCCCTCATGTGACAATAATCTGTAAGTTTATATTTGTATTTCTTTGTCGCTTTATCGTTGCAGTTTAGCTTTGGTATGAAATGTAACTCGAGATAATATTCGCATTCAGTTGAACCGCTTCCCGAAGCTTCTTATTGTTCAAGCGTGTTTAAAAACAACTGCATGAGTCTACGATTAAACCACTACGTGAGTCTACGATACAGTCCAGTGTCTTCAAGTTCATATAACTCTACACAATGTAAAGATCCCGAGAGTACTCTTCCATTGCTGAATTTGTGGATATACTCACACGACTTTTATTCTCTGCTTTCTTTAAAATTTACCCNCTGTCGGAAGTATTCAGGATTCTCTAAGATTCTCTAAGGATTTACCGCGTCGCTGTTCATTTTCCACTTTCCCCCTCATGTGACAATAATCTGTAAGTTTATATTTGTATTTCTTTGTCGCTTTATCGTTGCAGTTTAGCTTTGGTATGAAATGTAACTCGAGATAATATTCGCATTCAGTTGAACCGCTTCCCGAAGCTTCTTATTGTTCAAGCGTGTTTAAAAACAACTGCATGAGTCTACGATTAAACCACTACGTGAGTCTACGATACAGTCCAGTGTCTTCAAGTTCATATAACTCTACACAATGTAAAGATCCCGAGAGTACTCTTCCATTGCTGAATTTGTGGATATACTCACACGACTTTTATTCTCTGCTTTCTTTAAAATTTACCCACCTCTGGCATAAAGGTTTACTACCCGACATATTTCGCGACACCTTTCTTTATGCTGGTGATGTCCATAACTACAATACTAGATATGCAACCAATCAAAACTTATATAAACCTCGTGTAAGAACGAATACTGGCAAGCAGATGATTTCATTTAAGGCAATCGATCTTTGGAAAAGCATTCCACAATACCTCACAGGATTGAATGAGTAGGTTTTTTCTAAAAAAAAAAAAATTAAACATCATCTACTGTCCGAGCAATACTTGTCTAAACCTAGCGCTACCTAGTTCTGCCTAAGCTCACTTCTTTTAAAACTTATCCGTGTTACGTTTGTATTTTGTTTCATTGTTATCAATTGTTCTTTTCTTTTCTATTATTATGTTATCATTTATTTATTTATTTATTTATTTAATTTTGCTCTTTTTGGCTCATCGCCTGTGTTTATTTTAAAAGTAACTAGAAAATATAATAGTTCACTTGGCCATCATTCTCAAACTTTCATATAAATTCTATAGCAACATCTTCCTGTAGACATCAATCGAAGTCTGTAAACTAGCATTAGTCAAAATATTGAGGGAAAATAAAATGTAATGAACTGTACCGAAGCAACTCCTACATGTTCAATTGCAGATGAAACAGACAATGCCGCGCCTGCGCACAAGTCTAGCAGTTTTTTTTATGTTTCATCATCAAGTACAGTCGAGTATCTACTAACAGCCACCTCTCTACAACGGCCAATATTTGTTTTGGCGGGCAAGCCATATATTGACTCTAATGTTTAAACCTGTCGACCTCTCTACAATGGCCACTTTTTTCTTTCCCCAAGGTGACCGTTGTGGAGAGGTTCAACTGTATACAACTTAATTTAAAGCGTCTCTGCAATGCGGAAATGAAAGAAGTGAATTAAAGCTCAACAAATTAAATTTATTATTGCAGTGTACCTTTTTGTTTCCTTGTTTTGTCTTCAGCTTTTCTACTGCTGCACAATGCTGCTCAAAATTACAGCTGAAACTAGGCTAGTGTACTAAAAAACCACGATAAATCTGTCCGGACACTGCTCCTTTAACATATAAGTCCTCGTTGCTTTCTATCGTAGCAAAAAACTCACAGTTATCAGCCTTGTAATTAGTTTTCACTACAATTTTGGGGGCCAATTACAATTTCTATGTTAGTACTCCATTTGTGCAAAAACTAAAACAGAACGTAATACATGAGAGAGACCTTGAAACAGTATATGATTGAAACATATTGTTTGTTTTCTTAGACTACTAGTCTCTCCGCAGCAGTGATTTGTCTCTTCGAGGAAGAGAAGCGGTACCGCTTCGTGTAATTAAACCTGTATTGCTTGGGCAACTTCGGGCGATATCTAATTCTCATTCACGTTGCCCACGGTTAGATGAAGTTGGTGGAAGAGCGGCCAAAGAAACACAAGCATAAGATCGGATCATCTATCTGTCTCTTGAGTTTCTCTATGATCGAGAGCCTGATTTCTTGTTGTTTGTCGAGAGAGTGACGCCGTCGCCAATAAGTGTAAAAGGTGCCCAGTATTTTACATCGCTGAACTTCTCGGATTCTCTGAGACATTTCATTGCGTGGTTAAGAGACTCGCTCGCACTTCGCCCTTTAACAAGGTTATGAGAGAAATTTTTCATGAACTCAAACGTGGCCTCGTCATCGATGGCCCAAAGCGACACCGGAACAGAACGAGCACCAGCACCCATAAAGGCACGTGCAATACCGACCACGCCTTCAGCTTTGATCTCTCCCCGACCACTATGACAACAGCTAAGGACAACCAGCTTTGCTCGTAGCTTCACATTCATCACGTCAGTCATTGTCAACATGTAATCTTCTTCTGCAGGGATCTGCAATTTCCTTTCAGGATTTGGGTTCAACGCAATTTCTCCGGTTTCCATGCGTCCATGTGCAGCAATGTGTACTACGGCAACCGAACTAATCTGTTTTAGCACTTCACATCTGTTGGCCAATTTTCCAGGGAGGGGTGCCGCATTTAGAATTTGCCCAATCAGCTTTGCCTCTTTTCTGGCAAAAGTAAGCGGTTCCAGCTGATCTCCATGGCTGTTAGTAACTTCCGTCACGTCTGGATCTCCTACAACTAGAGCTCCAAGACCGCTGTGGTATTCTGGGCAATCGGCAATCATTTTCAAACTTGTAATCGAGGGAATCACTCTAACTCTGAAGGATTCANAACAGAACGAGCACCAGCACCCATAAAGGCACGTGCAATACCGACCACGCCTTCAGCTTTGATCTCTCCCCGACCACTATGACAACAGCTAAGGACAACCAGCTTTGCTCGTAGCTTCACATTCATCACGTCAGTCATTGTCAACATGTAATCTTCTTCTGCAGGGATCTGCAATTTCCTTTCAGGATTTGGGTTCAACGCAATTTCTCCGGTTTCCATGCGTCCATGTGCAGCAATGTGTACTACGGCAACCGAACTAATCTGTTTTAGCACTTCACATCTGTTGGCCAATTTTCCAGGGAGGGGTGCCGCATTTAGAATTTGCCCAATCAGCTTTGCCTCTTTTCTGGCAAAAGTAAGCGGTTCCAGCTGATCTCCATGGCTGTTAGTAACTTCCGTCACGTCTGGATCTCCTACAACTAGAGCTCCAAGACCGCTGTGGTATTCTGGGCAATCGGCAATCATTTTCAAACTTGTAATCGAGGGAATCACTCTAACTCTGAAGGATTCACATAAGTATTTGGAAAAAGGATTTAGCAATGCAGCAAACGGAGCTAGCCATAATGGACCATCCGGGACAATGATTATTTCATCGCCATCAATCAGATCTAATATTGGTGCGATCACATAACTGTACAGCGTCGCTAACGGAAGATTTCCTTCTCGGTTAATAGGCTGTGAGCACGTTTTGGACGACCGCTCCACAACAGAGCAGTGTTTACGTAATGCATCCAAGGATCGATTCTAGCGATTAATTTTAGCACGAACACCCATATTTTCGTAGGAAAATTGAATGAAAGACTGTAGCGTTGCATTTGCGTTCTTTGCACAATGATGGTCAAGTTTTCTCTTCCGGTGAAGAACAGGTTTGTGTTTGGAAAGTAACCAGATATTTACTTGGTTTTCAAACACGTCAACAGCCAGGAATATTGTGCTTGATGAAGTGCTGTTTAACATGCCGTTCTCGTTTTTCGCTATATTGGCATTCTTGTAAACAATATTGAGATTTAATCAGATCTGTTAGTGACTGAGCCCGTCCTTCTTCGGCATCAACTAGAGCTTCAGTAAGCTTCTCCTTTTTTAACAAAACTCTCCAAAGACCTGCGTAAGCACGGTTACATTCGTTCCGAAATCCAGTCTTCCACTGATCTTCAGACTGGAGAAGACTTCTCATTTCATTAAACACTTTAACGCTTGTCTGGTAATTTTCGAGTGCTTCAGGTAAACTTTTCAGCATCTCAAAGCAATGTCCAATAGTATAGTAGGCTATGCCTAGCATTCCTTTGTCTCCTGTTTCTTTGCCAATTCTAAGCTGTTTTTTGTGCCAATCTGTGGCTTTCATGTAGTCACCGATATTTTGGGAAACTGTACCTAAATGCCACAGGCAGCCCCTTCCCCAGCCTTGTCTTCAAGTTCTTGGGCAATACAGAGACGCCAGTCGTAATAGACCATGGCTTTGTCGTAGTCGCCAATATGTTGATAAGTGCTGCCGAGATGGCTATACGCACGTCCTTCCCCTGCCTTATCTCCCAGGTCTTTTGCAATACTAAGGCGGCGTAAGTAGTAGTAGAGGGCCTTCTTGAAGTCACCAAGACTGAGATAAACGTTACCGAGATAGCCGTGTGCAGTCGCCTCCCCGTCTTTATCTCCAATTTTTTTAGCGATATCAAGACGTTGGTGGTGATAGTAAACTGCCGTTTCGAAATCTCCGAGGCTGTCAAAAGCACTGCCAAGGCCACCATACGCGCCCCCTTCTGCTTCCAAGTCTCCAAAATCTTTGGCAATTTCAAGGTAGCGTTTGAAGTATTCTATGGACTTCTTGAAGTCTCCAAGACTTTTATAAATATGTCCAAGGTTGCAATACGCACCTTTCCCCCTATATTTGTTTCCTAGTTCTTTGGCGCAGGTAAGCTACAGATTAGAGTATTTTACTGCATTTTTTGTATCTCCAAGGTTGCGGGAAGCGTTTGCTAGACCTAAATAGGCAAGTGCTACCGCTTCTTTGTTTCGTTCATCTTTGGCAATGCTAAGGCCTAAACTGTAATACTCTTCGACTTTTTTGAAATTTCCAAGGCCCTGAAAAACGTTGCCAAGACCTGTGTAAGCGTCTCCCTCTCCAGACTTGTCTCTCATCTCTTTGGCAATGCTAAGGTGAAGCCTATGGTAAATTTCAGCTTGTTTGTAGTCACAAAGGCAGTCAAAAGCATGTCCGAGATTGCTAAGGGCAACACCTTCTAATTTCCTACTGATTTCCTTGTTAGCCAGACCTTTAGCGACAGTAAGACAACGGTTATAGAAGCCTATTGCTTTCTTATAACCACACAAGCCTCGAAAAGCATTGCCAAGCCCGTAGGAAGCCATACCTTCCACAGGCTTTTCTCCCAGCTCTATTGCAACACTGAGCGCACGGTTTTGGTACTCAATGGCTTTTCGAAATTACCGAGCTTTTGGAAAACATCACCAAGACATTGATACACATATCCTTTCTGTCTCTTGCTACTGCGCATGATCAAAACCACGTGACTGTTCATTTTCCCCACGTAGTCCTGCGGCTACGGTGAGTTGTTGAGCTGTTTCGCGTAGTCGGGACTAAGGAGAACATTTTGGTCGTATTTTGCCGTCTCGGTAATTCAAGAATCTCGTCTTTTCGTAAAAAAGTTTTCAATTTACCTGCTTTAAGTGAGAGGGAAGCGAAATATGTAAGTTGTGTCTAATTTCTGCTCAGATTTACGCTTTTAATCCACTGTTGTGACTACATTTTTATCTAGCTAGGCTTAGAATTCAGATTGACGGCCGAGGAGAAGAGAAATCATGCAGGTAATTTACTTTCTGTTCGCACTTGAAAAGTTTCAATGTTTGTTCGAACTGATTAGTGTGTTTTTCTACTTGTGTAACCTTTGTTTATTCGAGTTTTTGTATCGCTTTTGCTGAAGGAAAATGATGTAAACATCTTCGAGACAATCGAAACTCGGCATTCCAGTTCTTCAAACTACATCAGATCAGTAGTCGGAGAAGTCCATCTTCTAAATTTAATAAATGAGCTATTACTATTTCTGTCTATTTCTTTAATATTTGACATAAGTATTCATGGGCAAAAAAAATAAAACCTGTGTAAGCAAAACTTTGTTAACCAATTTCACTCGACGTAATCGCTTCCTTCAAGTATGGAAGAATTTGTTCATTGTTCTAAAGATAAGATCACATGCAAAACTGACTTGCATTTTTGTGAACTGTGATGAAAACAAGAAAATTTTTGCGTGTTGTTTTCCTCTCCGCCTCTTCTTTCGTAGTCTACTGTCTGTAGTGCAATCTTAACGTTCTATATTTGCACGACTCAACCCAGTGCTACAAACAAAGGACAACGCTCGTCCAGCCGTAGTTCGTAGTCCGTAGTCTCCGTATCTTAAACTCCCTAATATCAAGAGCAAGGTCGTTATATTCTATGGCTTTCTTGTAATCACATTGAACCAGAAAAAAAAAACACCAAGAATACTATACACAGCTCCTTCACTAGCTTTATCTCCCACATGCTTGGCAGTACTGAGAATCTGGCAGTAAAAGTTAACGATGTCGTTGAAATTCCCAGAAAGATTTGGCACATCATTAAAATTACTCATAACGCGTGCAAATTCATTATCTTTTATTTCAACGGGCTGATTTTCTTTGAGCACATTCGTTGATGGTTGATATGGAGTGAACACCTGTAAAATTGAATTGCTTTTTGATCAGATATTAGTCAGGATATTTGATTGTATTGGTGTACTGGTTTTTACGTACGTCTCTAAAATGTATGCGCAACGATGCAATCGTGGTAGATTTGAGGTAAGTCTCATGTGAATGCCTCTCTTATCTTAACCATGTGTATACGGTGGAAACTCTATTCAACCAGTCCTCGATACAACGAACGATTTTCTTCAGCCCGGCGGCAAAATTAGAATAAAATGTATGGAACAGAACCTCGATATAACGAACCTCGATTTAACGAAATCCTCGTTATAACGAACACAACCCAGAAACGCAAACATAAAGTATACCTCGATATATCGATTAAATGTCAACATGTGACCGAAAGATAGTTAAAGATGAATTCGAAACAGAGGAACCGGGATAAAATTTATGCGTAAAGTAGTTTTAAGCAGTTTTGTTTGCCTGTTGCTGTGTTTCTTGTGCCGTAGCTAACAGCTCTGAACTTAGACAATAGCTTCGTATACAAATGCTTATTACAGAAATTGTTCAGACCCGGACATGCTGGGCGTTGGAAATTAATCATTAATTCTACCTCGACATAAGGAACATTTTTCTTGTTTTACCAAAAATTCGTTATGGAGGTGTCCGATATAACAAACCCTCGATATAACGAACAAATTTCCCCAGTCCCTTGGCAGAGTTAAATCGAGGTTCTACTATACCTACTTCGAAACGAATTTATTTGCTATTAACAATACTACGAGAGAATGACAATTTGACTAACAATAGACGACTGTTTAACTGTGACAATAGACGGATCGAAACGCACCAATTACTGATTACGAGTCTTCATAGCCAATAACATCACGGCTTAACTGACAGACGACCAATATCATCGCTACGTAATTGACCAATCAGATCAATAACCAGAGTATAATACCATCAACTGACGTGATACAACTTACTTTGGCTCTGAAGATGACTACTGCACAGGTTGTCAAAACGTCAGTCACTGTCAACAACAACAGTCCTATTCAGGACTACGTTCACCCGGACGATCAAACGCAACCTACTTTTTAAATGACTCCTGGGTTCAAACCTTTCACCATCTGGTATTTGTCTGCTCATTATTTCCTTGCTCTTACCTTCAAACCTCAAATCCAACATTTTCCAATTTTGTATAATTTCAAACATCCCCAATTTTTATTCATTTGAAAACGGTCGAGAAATCATCCAAAAATACCTAACTTTTAATTATGGAGCCAC